GGCAAACAACACTGAGATGCTACTGAAGTACTGCAAGAAACAACACTAAAAAAATCCATCTTCAACATGTCTCTTTCATTCATACTCAGGCTGATTCCTCTGCCCATTACTGGGAGTTCCTCTGTACAAATCCACCTCCTCTGTACATCCTTGATGTTTCAATAAAGTGGTTTTCTTTGTGGAGCAGACATCTGTAGATGACACGGCAAGCTTTCCCCGTGTGCAGAGCTGGAAGGTGTCCATGAGGTTACAGGAAACTGTCCTCCACCAGGTCTGAGGAGTCAATCCCGATGTCGTCCATCATGTCAATGTCCTCAATGGTCTCATCCTCTCTCTTGATGAAGGTAGAGCTACTGGAACCGGTTTCAATGGCACTTTCTTCAGATGTCTGTGAACTGGAGGAGACAAGTATCTCAGAGATAAGACATGTAGTAAATGTGGCTGGGTAAGTGCTCTAGTCTCTAGCAGAACTGAATACTGCCCCCCCCGATGTTTCTGACCCATGGCACAGTCTTAGGTGACTTTGACTACCAGTTTCTTAGGTCATAACATATCTTGTATATCATAAGTAGTGAACCACCTTGTAATTCAAAGGAGCAGTTGTTCATATGTTCCTCCAAACACTTTCAGCCAGAGACTTATTAGAGAAACAGTTTTATGACACTGCTGTGACAATAGGTCACTTAGGTAAATCGAGGGAGGTCAGGTGAAAATAAGATAGCAATAACAGAGAGTAAGATAAGAATAACAGAGAGAGGTAATAGATCTTAATCTGGATAGTTCTTCTTAGAGACTTCAAACTTCCCCCTCTTGAGTGTTGCACAAAAATATATTTTAAAAAGAAAAAAAGCTTCTAGGTTGCTAATTCTATATGCTACAAATTAAGTACTGAATTAAACCTTGGCCATTCACAGTTAGGATCACACAGTGTTGTGTTGTAATGGAACTGGTCATGCAAACTGACAAGAGAGAAGTAAAAAGTCCTGCATACCCTGCTGTCATAGAAAACTATACCATAGAAGATACTCAAAACTTCTCCCAAACTTTTGAATCGGTCTCATGCAAAACAAATCAATCCTTTGCGATCTCATATGAAGCTCCAAGGTTTTGAGCTGCGGAGGCAAGATGTGTTGCAAAATATACCCACAGAGCCACCAGACAGCCATTGTGACTTGGCCAAGCTAGTAAGGGAGTCCCAGAGACACAAAGCAGTCCCCTTCCCAGGCAATCATGTTGCCAGAGGAAAATTATGCTTTTCCCATTGAAAACACTGTGGTCAGTCAGACTACCATGTTTACAAGGGACTCTCTCAAAAGGTATTTTCAAGAGAGCTAAGAAAATAATTTGCAGAGTAGGATGCTGAAGCATGTTAATGGAGATTGCCAAACATGACACCAAATGGTGACTATGGGCCAAAGGATCTGTAAACTGCACCTACCTGTGTCTGTTTCTTTTGCCAAGCTCATCTTCAGAAACGGGGTCAATGTCAGGCAGGGGGATGATGTATCCACTGTCAGCACTCAGCCTCTGCTCATCAAAACCACTCTCCCTGTCCTTTAGCTTGTCTTCATTCTTGTAGGTGACACCAATGTAAGCATTGTCACAGTCCCCTCTCATGCGTGTGACAGCTGGGTGATCACTTTTCAGGAAGTCCAGGTGAATCTTCTCATAGCTCTGAAAATATTAATTTGAAGCCCTCATTAGTTGCTATTCACTGAGGCTGCCTTTCTCCAGATGGGCAGCTGTGGTTTGTTAGCCCAGCAAATATTCTGCCCTATGAGCCAGCAACACTAGATAAAGAGGCCCAGCATCTTCAATTGCTTTGAAGGGAGAAGTGACATGTAAGTTTTAGATGATGCAAGAGCAAATGTGGCAACACAAAGCAGACTTGTAGGTATGAAAGAAGGGTAGGGAGACAGAGAAGGAAGTTAAGGTAGGTGGGAAAATGAAACACTGAATGATGGGGCAGCCAGAGCATGCCCAGAACTATTAGAAGTATGAGGGGAAAACTTGCTGATGTAAGGGTCCAAAGATGGAGACAGGGAGATAATACACATGGGCCAAGTAGTCCCTTTTTTAGAATTATTTCACTGCCTAGAAAATCCCATGAAAATATATAAAACCAATTCTCCAAAGAAAAATGGAGTTGGTAGGATTTCATTAAGAATAGAGAGTTCTGCTTCCCAGTCAGGACTGCAGAACTGCTTCTCTCAGTAAGCTCAAATGAAGAAACCCAACATGCAGTGTCCCCATCCTAGTCACATAATTCACGTAGGTTAGGATGTGCCAGTTCAGTGCTCATGGCTCTCATGGCTGGAACAATACTTCCCTCTGGAACAGTATACAGAAAACACAGAGAAAATTACAAAGATCAAACCTTTTTGTACTCTCCAGGCAACAAGTTCTCCACAATTTCACTCAAATGATAGAAAGAAGGTCTTTTTTCTGGTTCACTGTTCCAGCACTTCACCATGATCTCATACCTGCAGATTAGATGGAAACCAATTTATTAAACTGGTAAAGGAACATGAGTAACCAAACAGAAACTAAAGCCAAGTCTGGAGGCTGGCCAGGTGTGGAAAAGCCAAGTGCACACATACACTTCATTGGTAGCATGGTCAGGTTTGGCCATTCGGTATCCACTCTTGATCTTATTGTAGAAAGTAGAATCGACCATCATGCCAGGATATGGTGTGCCACCTGCAGATAAAAGAGAATTAAAAGTACTACTCTGTACTTGACTATATGTATGCAAAGTTCCCAAATACTGTCTTGCTGTTCGTGTCAAAAACTGTTAACACCATAATTTGACATGACATCAAAATGGTTGTTTTCTAGCCAGTGTTTCACTTCAGAACTACTGTCCTGATGACATTAAGTCCTAATGTGAAACACTGGCTAGGAAAGACCGAAGTAGGTACTACTTAGAAAAAAGCACCTTTAAAGTGTTTATAGAATGTACTGGGTACAGAGATCAGATGATACCTGGATCAGGTCGTCAGCCTGCATTTGGTATATCTGAGGCCATGACTCTGCCCTGCCACAGAATTTCTGTGAGAACTTAGCCAGCACACTTGCTCTGTTTGCCTTTGGCACCTCTATGACAGCTAACAGTGGCATGGCCTGAGTTGCACACCCCATCCTGGCTGTGAGGGTGAGGCCTCGGTGTGAGAAAGTCCCCTCTATACCCAAGCCGTCCCACCTGGGCAGCTGGCTTTAGACAACAGTTAACATGTCAGGTGCATGGATTGTCCAAAAGTTTGGACTTGGCCCCTGAGCTGACACAGTTAACTGATAATTTGGGGCTGCAGCACACGGGAATCATTGCACTCATGCTCGGTTGACGCTAATGTATAAAAAGGGTCGCTCAAGCAGAAGTCAGCAGAGTAGCAAGACGTCAAAACTGACCTTGTTAACAAACACTGCTGAGGATATATTTTACTTTCCAAGAAAAAACAGTTTTCTCAGACAGAGGAGTCATACTATAGTATTACGCCAGAAACCTCAGCCTTTTCTAAAGAAGGATTTTCACCTACAACTGGGCTTCAGAACCCTCTTTACAGGGCAGTGAAGTGTAGGTGTGCTTCAGTTCCTGAGCAATTCAATAGCATTCTCGTGCCTCACAGGGATTCCGGGGAATGGATATTTACAGGATCCTCTGATGCCCAGAGATTACAGTAATTGATACCATAAATAGTGGTGCAATTGTTGTTTTCTGAGAAGCAGCTATGTGACAACTTATTCTAGAAAATAACATTAGTCTTGGGGTTGCCGTGAGGCAGCAGTAGTTACCATATGGGCACAATTAATTCTGCTGAGAGTAAATCTGGGCAATGCATGCTTGCTGAAGCAGGCCAGCCACCTGTCCACGGGGCTAATTAATGAGTCTGAGGAAAGAGCCAGGCTGTTCCCAGCTGGGAACTGTACATTGTCTGTAACTGCTGTATGTTGTCATAACCACTTTACTCTGCCATAAACCAACTGTGTGAACAGTGCTGACCTGGAAATAAGAAATCAGTGTCTCAGAAGATTGACATTTATTTTCATTCTATAATAAGACTAAGACATGCTCTTGTGAAACATATATGAAGAGACAGTTTCAAACCAGCCACTAAGCTGGGCTGCAGCCCAGGCACCCCACAGCAAGGGAGCAACATGTTCCTTCTCATATTAGTTAGAAAATCAATCCTGGTACAATGCATGAATGAATACTTTTCCACAAAAGATTTTCGCTCAGTTTTTTTGTTTTCTAGAAAAAGTAAAAATAAAAAGTATCTTAAAAAAAAAAACAACAACCCACAAACAAAACCCAAAACAAACAAACAAACAAACCCAAAACAAACAAAAAAACCCCACAAAGACAACTTCTGAAGAGTGTGGACATTTTACTTCCCACTGGAATCTGAAACCCCATATTGAAGAACAACAGTGGATTTCACACATATGTTTTTACTGTAGAATTTTAAATACTTTATGTAGGACAGTTTGAACTGAAAAATCTTAATTACTAAATATAGGAAAAATTTCACTGTGCATACCAAGAGAAAATATTTCCCACAGCAGAATGCCATAAGACCAGACATCACTTAATGTTGTGTATAGGTTGTCAAAAATGCTTTCAGGTGCCATCCATTTTACTGGGAGGAAAGTCTGTAACAAAAAGAAAGAAATCCTAAACCACACAGATTAGTCATTAAAGAAATGCTTACCATCACAACTGTTATTTGATAGCCAGGAATAACTTCTCTGTGTAAGAAAAGTTGTGTTAACCTGGCTAGTGTTTATTTTTCATGTCATTTCACATAGAGATACCAGGATTATTAAGCAATGCTACTAACCTCTCCCCACAAAAATTGATTTAGACATAACTGTATTCATTTTATCACTAGCAAATGACCAAGCTGATTAAAGGTATGATACAAAATCTGGCATGCTGAACTAGATCTGATATGTCATTTTTTGATATGTCCCTACTCTCTCCATATCATACCAACAATTCCTTAATAATTTATACAGTCACAAAACTTGGGTTAAAGAAAGTACTGTGAAGTACTGAATGTGGCCAAGTATTTTTTGGCTTTAAAACAGAGTTAGAAAACTTACAGGAATTAATGAACTGAAGAAAAATTGTTCTGAGGAGCATTCATCCCAATGGTCAATTAGTGTAACCAACACTGAATGGCAAGAACATGAAACAGCACCTAAAACTGACACTTCTCATTTCAGTTAAAGCAGAGCTTTACTGATTAAGTACATACGCTGCCCTTGGAGACATAGTTGGAATCATGCATGATGTCTCTAGCCAGCCCAAAGTCACAGATCTTCACAATTTTTCCTTGAGCCAGGAGGACATTACGAGCTGCCAAGTCACGGTGCACACACTACATGGAGAGAAATAAAGTTGTTCAAGGACCTGCTCATTCCATGAGAAAGGGCTGACCTTCTGGGCACAGTCTTAACAAGACCTTCTACTGAACAAGCACCTATATTCCTTGTGAATAGGGGCAGGGAGGCACTGGCCCTCAGAACTGGTGAGGTCTTATGCAGACAGACTGTAGTGGGGAGAAGACCAAAGTGATGCCATCCTTTCTTATTCTACCCATTACGTGCTAATGATATGTCTATGCTTCTGCCATGCTGTGGCTGTATGGACCCTTCACCCACACCCTGCCTTGATCCTCCACTATCTCTGGCACTCTGACTCCACTAATGTCACAGGCTGCAGCAGGAGAAGAGGACTGATTGCTGCTTTGATTTTTCCCACCACGGTGATCTCTATTTCCAGGTAAATGAGAAATCTGTCTAGACCTCCAAAAAGAGTATTTTATTGTGTTGTCTTCAAAATATAAATTGAAACCCATAGTTAGAGAAGACGACATTTTTACACTTTCATTTTACTAATTTTTTTATTTACTTACATTTTTAGAAGCCAAGAATTCCATTCCCCGTGCAACCTGGTAGGTGAAGCTCAGCAAATCCAGTAGGCTGAGTCCCTCTGAGCCATCATCCGAAAGAAGGTTTTTGACTTCTGATTCTATTGAAAAGAAGAGAAAAATGTGTTTGTGCTGTGGAGTGTGAAAGTATCATCCATCGTCCCCTACCTATCATGATTCTGAGCTGATGATTTTAGCAGATTACCATGACCAAAACAGTCTTTTCATAGTAACTAACCACTTTTAATGCCTTCATCAGTCACTGGCACATGCTGCATTCTTAAAAACATCGAGTATTAAATAAAGGGTTTGAGTTTTCTCCTGTCTGTAATTTTTTCCCCTGGGAACTGTAGAAACAAGTGAAGTTAAAAAGGCTCACTGTAATGTTACACAGGTTGTTTACTCTGTGTGGTACAAAACATTTACTTAGAGGTGGTGCCCTCATTAGGTTTTTGTGCATGTACATACATTCTTATCCATTTACTTTTGCTGAACACTGTTATGTTTCCCAGCAAGCATTCACTGGGACTAATCCAATACCAATACAAAGGTTCAGGAATTCTATGGCAACAGTTCTTATTTCTTTTATGAAAGATGTCAGCAAAAAAACAGTCAAAATTCAGTGATTCATTTACCCTGACTGTCCTAGAGCACAACATGAGTACATTAGCCTGCCGTGTAAATCTGGGACTGGATATGATTCAGTTTCCGAGGCCTAGGGGCAGAAGTGATGGTGTCTATTTTTAAAGCAAAGCATATTTGGTTTCTGAGAACAGGGGTAGGTTATGAGGTGCATTCATTATATTTATTAAATAATCCAGGAAAGTGTTTAGGAGTGTGCTGTGTTTGTTTAAGTGTCAGTTCATGTGAAATCTAAGTGGAAACAGAGCAATATAAATCACTATTATTTTTGATCATGGCTATTGCTCAACATCTTGCAAACTACAAGACTGATAAAGTCACTGCCTCCAGAGAGCGCCTACAGCCCTGTTGCAGAGCACAACCACTCAGCGCTTCAGAACAGAAGCAAATACACAACTGAACCCCTTCTGCTCCAGCAACATGCAGTCCTATCCCCAGAGCAGAACGAAAAAACAAAAGCTTAAGTTTTTAGCTTATATCTCATGCTCACACACTTGCTGAACAGAGCTGAGCAGTTTACATCTGTTTAGAAGGCCCAAATAAGATATGTGTTTAAGCAAGAATCATTTCTATTAATGATATATGCAGAAAGGACAGTTCTACATTACCTGACATGGATTTCTTCTTGTATGAAGCAGGTCGATCATACACAGATCTCTGAATATCAGAGTATTTAGATCCCTCCTTCCTTTCCAGCATAGGCACATACTGAGTGGTATCAGCTTGTTTCATGTCCATGTATTCTCCAGTGTTTTCAAATGATAATATCACATAACTGAAATTGGAAAAAAATAGAGGTGTATCAGCTAGTATTTCCCAGGTGACTTCCCTGCCACAGCATTCTGCATATCTAACAGTTCTTTTATGGTTTACAATTGTATTGCTGTGAAATATAAGAACTGGCTTCTTGATAGGGAATAGATAAAGATCATGTGTTACAACATATCCATGTAGCATGTGTGTAATACAACCATCACTTATTAGTACATATTACTGTGCATTACTGTAGTTAAACACAAGCTTTGGTCAGTAGTCAAGTATGTAAACATGTATTGCCTTACTTCCCAAAATCCCACTGAACTCAAGTATCACTACCTATGGCTTTTAGTTCAAAGTTTTCCATATTATAGATGTCATTTATTCACCCAGTTAGTTTGCATCAAATCCAGGCCTGCTGAACAAACCCATATCCAGATGCATAGTCCCGTCTGCACACAGAGCTACCAAGTCAGTTGCTCTATTTGTCTGAATGATTTTTGGAATGAATCTCTGTCCACCTTCTACATCCTGGCTAATTTTATGGCATTGCATTATTGCTGAATGAATGATGACAAGCTTGCTCCACCATCATCTGGAAAAAGCTGTGGGGTGGACACTAACCATAAGGAAACTGTTGAGATCGGCTAAGCCATTGGTAGATAAAGGAGAGTACTTAAGCTTGGAGAACAAGCTCTGCCAGGCTGTTTGAAGGGAATGAGTTTTAGACAGTGGAAATTCCTCAAGAAGGGAAATAAGGAAACAGGTAGATGCACTTTATTTTTAAAATTGAGTGGGTAGAGACAGGTTTTTTTACAGAGAAAAAAAAAAAAAAAGGAATACTGGGCTATGGTTTGTTAATAAAAGTCTTCTTTGGGTTGTCAGAATGTTTATGGAGAACCCACAGTGGTCCTTGGACTGCAAGCATCTCTACATGCAGGACACATGAAACTACGACACGTCAGGGATACTGAACAAAAAGTGCCAAAACCTTTCCAAATCTAAGAAACCTGATAAATGAAAGTCTAATGAGAAAAAATAGAGCTTTAAACCAATGGAAGAGAGAAATGGAGTAAGTGTTAGTAACGAAATTTCCTTAAGTCACAAGTCATTTTGGTTTTTTTTTTCTTTTTTCGCACCTTCTTGTGCTTTCATCAGCTGGGTTCATCCCAAAGATATCCAAATCTTTCTTTGGCTTCTCTGGGTGTCGGTTCAGGAAATTGTCCCTGTTCTTATGTAGGTAGTTCACCAAATCACCATAAAAGCAGTATTCAGTAATGATGTAAATAGGACCTGTTAAAATAAACCAGAATTATGCATTGATGAGTGGGGTCTTTCAAAAACAGACCTAGAAAACCCTACAAAAACAAACAAAAGGTTCCAAAAATAGTAGAAAATAAAATATAAAACATAAAAAGTATTATGAGCTAATAATTTTTTATCTAAGTTATGACTGCAACTATTATCAAATATCAATTAGGTTTATATTTGTTTATATTTATTGTTAAATTCTTTATTGAAATCTGTGTGCTTATTAAACAGTGAATGATGACCCTACAGCAAACCTCTGTCAGCCAAACTCACCTGATTTTGTAAAAACCTTTATTTTGTCAGCCAAACCCACCTGATTTTGTACAAGCTCCAAGCAGATTCACAATATTCAGGTGGGGGCCAAGATGTGTCATTATCTTCAGTTCAGACATGAGCGCCTGTTTTTCACTGGATCTAGCTGTAGCTGTTGAAAAAACACAGAAATCCCTTTTTTCAAGTAACAAATTATTTCTCCTTGCTTGTCTCATTGGAGCACTGCTAGCATGGTTTCTTGGAGAAGACTATATCCTTTACACAGAGGCACTCCACAAGCTGCTCATTTCAACACAAGCAAGTTCCCTGTGGTTCCTCCAGAATCACTGCATCAGATTCTCAGCTCTCATGAACCAGGAAATCTTCAGTGAACTTAAGATTCTTATACAAGACCTGCTGTTTCTCCTTTGTTGTGTAGCTCTCATTTGTTCACAGACATTCACAGTTATTTTATCTTTTACAATACTTGCTGAGTTATTGCGGCTGCTCAGCTAAACCCAAACTTTGGACGTTTTCAGAAGCCTGGGTACTTTCTATTTGAAATGCCATAAAGCATAAAGTATAATTTTAAATGTCTGTCATTCAGCCACTCATTTTCCACTTCAGATATGAAGAATTAATTTATACACAAGCAAGGTTTGAATAATGCTGTGGAATGTTCCCTACCTTGCCCCTCCCCTATCTTGGGAAATGGAACCCCAACAACTTACGTTTCAGCATTTTCACAGCTACTTTCATCACTGGTTGAGAACGACTCAATCCATATGCAGTCCCTTCAACTACTTTTCCAAATGCACCAGAACCAAGGATTCGACCTGAATACAAGGGAGAGCATTATTTATTTCTGAAGGGAACAGCAATTCAGCTCATTTCCTGCTCTCATTCCTCTACGAGTTGATTCTTGAGTGGAAAAAACACGTTCCCATAGCCAGACTACTGGTATTATTGTTATTGGTGTTGTTGTTAACCAGGAAAAACAGATCTAAAATGCTGTCATTAAGTACAATTCTTAAAAAGAAGCAAGCAAATATTAGGAACACACCTGGACGCTCAACTCATTCAAATGCATCTGTTCCTGTGCCCTGTCATCTTCACTTTATCATCTCTAATTGTCTTAGACTTTAACCAACCTCTCTGCCTCAGCCAGCACCAGAATACAATAGTCATGTTCCTGACTTAAAAATTTGAACTGGATCCCTCAGCTGTAGTTTCAGTCTATTATATAATGCTGGGCACATCTAAGCAGTAAGACGGACTAAAGCACATCAACAGCACATTCAGAAACAGACAGGCAGGGCCATTTCAGATCTGCAAGAAGCTGAAATGCATGTTTATCACATATGAGGGGAAACTTCCATGAAGTTTAATGTACAACTGTGTTTCATGTCCTGGAATAAATTGTATTGCAAATTTCCAAGTGTTGTAAGGAAACAGCTAATATTTATACATCCTTTACTCTTCTCACAAATCAATTTAGACAAAAATTTTAGATTATCATATCCCATCTTCTAATAAAGATACAGCCTGCAGAAGAATTGTGTACAGGTTGATTGAGATTTTAGAGAAATATGAATTGCACAAATATACTGCAACCCACTGTATTTCATAGCTTCTACACTGAAGAGCAAGTTCGTCAAGGCAACACTTACTCAGGGAACAAACCCATATATGAGGTCCAGATGTCAGGATCTTATCATACGCCTGACAAACTCTCTTTTTTATTTTATATTACTATTGAACTTTCAGCACAGAAAGAATAAATAGTGACTTTTACTTTGGAGATATACAGCATTTTGTCTTTGACGTTCATTTGCAGTTTGAACTTGTCACCTTCTACACTTCTGAAAAGTGTTATCTGGCATGCAATGCCATATGTTTCTGCTATCCTCTAGCTACAGCCCCCACTTTTATTGTATGCACACTTTTAAACGAGAATTTCCAGCCAAATGATATTTGCATCATTAACAAGCATGGTTAAAAAATGGTGTAAGAATGCTTAGCTGAGTTAACACTGATGAACCTCTCCAAGATTGTAATGTAATGTAATGGCCAGTTTGTCGTGCCCATAGAAACTATGTGATTTCAAGATTCCTGTCCTCCAAAGGTTATCCTTCCAAATCAGGATGTGAGAAAGCTTCCCACTAAATTTCAGACTAATTCAAAACACCTGAGTCTGACATCTGGCCCCTGAAACTTTTCAGACTGAAGGTCTGGGAGCCATATGGCAGGATGCAGCCCTTCAGAATGTGATGGTATTTGCTGATGCTCCTTGATCTTCTTGTCTTCACAAGCCAATTCCTCCCCAGACCATATTGTTAACTGAGCACAAGGCACATATCTCCCTCTCCATCACCTCTGTTGGGCCAGGGTGCACGTGGAGACAGTGAGAGCACTTCCTAAGTGGTAGGGAGCCATCACTGCTGTTTCCCCCTTTCAACCCTCTCTGCAGATGCAGCCCAAGCCCCATGTCTTTTACATTGGAAATTTGGAGCCTGGTGGGAGCTGAACCGTTCAAGAACTGGAAGCATCTGTAATGCCATCACATTCTTGATGACTGCTTCAGTGAAGCCCAAAATTATAGCATGTGTTTACTTTTCTCAGTATACAGGCACAGCTGTGATCTGCTTGGCCACCACAAGAAGGACTGTGCAGACACAGCAGCAGCTCAAGGCCCCTCAAAGTAGTGGAGGAACAGAGGCTATTTTAGCCTCTCTACCAATTCATAGAACTTATCTGCTGTCACTGCTAAGAGAAGTGCTGGTTTTCTGCTCAGAAGACACAAATACAAAGGTGAAGTCTGTGAATTTGTCCCAGATGCAGCCATCTCAACTGGATGCCTCTTTGGCTAAAACTGAACTGGCATCATCAGCCCACCCCAAATTAAACCATTAAGTCTCTTGGTCTGTATCAAAAGCCAAACAAGTGCCAAGCTTTACAATCTAAGTCAGTTTCTAGACTTATGAGAAATTAGGTATGACATCTCTAAGTGTTGTGTGACTTGAATCTTAACTTGCCATTTGCAAATGGGTGTAGGTCTGATTCTGTGTCAGACCAGTATTTCATTTTAATAAAGTCAACAGGAAAAATGAGTGGCTTGCTGGGAAGTGATGAGAGCAATTCTGCCACCTCTCTGCAGCCACTCCAGGTTCCTGAGCAACAGCACTAGGACCCTGTTCCTCAAAAGGCCCTGCTCTGCTCTATCAGCCAGAGGAGGTGGTACAGGAAGTTTCCTGCTGGAACCTTGACACTTCTCAGCAGATCCAGGAGAAGGCAGTGGTGTTCAAGCAGCTCATGGCATTACGGCATTGTTCTTTCTGTTATGCATCTCCCAGGCTTGCGCTGGCTGCTGAAAGCTTCAAACAGCAGTGCACTACATACACTGTGGAGCAGTGATTGCAAAGGGAAATTTGCAGTGTAACCCAAATTTATCAATTGAAGCTCCAGCCAGCCAGTGTTCAAAGCTGGCGTTTAACACAGCAATGCATTCCAGGCACTACTGGCTAGAAAAAACAAATAAATGCCAGCTGGCTTACGCAGCTAGGATGGGAAATGCTCATCTGGCTGAGGCAAAATGGGTTTGTAACCTGCTTCTGAGCCTCCCTGAGATAAAGGTGTAACAGCTTTGCTGTCATCTCCCACTTAGATAAGAGAAAATCCACACAAACCAGAATTATCAGCCACAGAAACAAAAGAGGGTCGCCCCACCAGCAAGCATTTAATATGGCAAAACTGCCAGTGGGTATAAATGTGAACCGTGTCAAGAAGAAAGCTTGTGCAATCCAGATTGGTAAAAGGATATGCAGCACTGGTTTTTAGAGCTCTGACTATCCTGAATATACTTGTAAACATGAAGGCATTGAAGCAGGCTGGTGCTCATGAGTCAGAAGGAGACAAAGTCACAGTGGTAGTCTTTAACAGCTCAGATCTGACAAATCCTCTTTATGCATATAATTAAAGTCTGGGTTGTAATAAAATAATTCCATTAAATATCCACCCTCCTCTAGTCTTCAATGAGCAACACGAATTTAATTAAAGGATATTGTTCCTAAACCAGAAATTTTTGTGCTGCTTTCAAGGATTAACATCAACTCTTTCTCTGTGATGGGGAAGAGGAACTACACCAGGGGAGTACGTTTCTTAAAACACATCAAACAAAAGACATATGTCATCTTCTCCTCTATTTTGTGATACAACTTGGCGCAGAGATATCTCCAAGAGAGGGAAGCCTTGTATGTTTAAAGCACTATCTAGATAGAACATTAAAATTTTCTATAATTATTACATTTTCAATTGATATAAATGACACATTGGGCCAGCCTTGAAGAAGTTATTATGACCGAATTCTGCATGAATTCCAATGATGAATAACAAAGCAAGAAAGCAGAAGGCGAAGGAAGAAGGACAGTAGCCATAAAAATATGCAGTTACTCATATGTGCTTGACATGGATTAATAATTTTAAAAATATTTTTAATAAAACTACATAATTACTTGCAGATTTCCCTTGGCCTCTGCACATAAGTATATAAATGTCTTGCAAACAAAAATACTGATGTCTTTCTTGTGGATGTACTAGCATAAGTGAGTGTTGAAGAGGGCACTTAAAACTGAGTGTCCCTCTAAACCACATGGAGATGGGCACTGCACACGGCATTGGGAGAGAGCTGGAACAGAGGCACAGGAGACACTAACACTAGAACTTCAGGGCTGATGCCACTGCAGGAGAAGAGGATGAAGAAGGAGAACTGAGGAGAACAGACAGGCACAGAGAGCCTCTGGACTTTGTGGCCATAACTTCAATTGCAAATCCCAGTAACACAGACCTCAGAATTGTTCTTAATTGCCCTTATCCCTAGAGAAGAATGAGGTTAGTCCCTTAGACAAAACTTACCAAGCACTAACCCATCTCGAGGAAACTCCCATCTGGAGTCATAGGGCAGTTGCATTGGGTCCACATAAATGTATTCATGGCCATCAGGGCTGATAGATTCAATGACTCTCCATCTAATCTCATACCTCGGCTTCTGCAGAGCACATTGAATGCAAACCCAACAATTAGTCATGTGCCTGACTTCAGAGAAGATCAAAACCAAGCAGGGCTCAGCATCCAAACCGAAACGCTTTTCTACAATACCTGTTTCCATATGATGACTAGGACAATCAGGGAAATTATCACAATCACTAACAGCACTAAGACAGCAGCAGCCACCGTTAGCTCTGATCGTAAGGCTGTGGAGTAAAAAGACAGACTATATTTTCCTACTGAGCCATGAGGAACATGACACACACATAAGACATCCACCTCGCCTGTCATTGCAGTTCCTGTGTCCTGCGGAAGCGGCAGGAGCAGTTCCTGAGGCTGGTGACTGTAAAGTCTTTCCGAGCCCAGAGCCGCTCTGCCTTCCTGTTTCAAAACCAAATACAGATTGTCTAGAAGAATGTCCCCATAGACAGTGGTAATAAAATGGTAAAATGAATCATGGAACCACACAATAATCAAAAAACAGATGCACCATAAAGACCTGTAGAATGCCTCATCCTCAGATGTCCCAGGGTGGAAGAAAAAATCCATTTTAACTAGTTATCTACAACAATCCATATTTTTATCCTTTAAGACTGAACTGGGGTGTGTCAGGGTGGGGTCAAACTGGCTGCTGTAATTTCATAGAAGGAGAAAGCAAACTCACTGGGAGCCACAAGCTTCAGTTCTCGAGTAACAGCACCGAGGTCATTCCTTGCCACACATCGCACAGCCAGGGTTTCCTCTACCTTTTGGAAGGTCACCTGGCTTTCCACCGTATTTTTCTCATCCAGGTGGGCTTCCATGTGTATATCAGAGATATTGTTAGTCAAAAGGGTCCACGAGGTGTCATTGCTGCACCTGCAGAGAAAAACAGTGGGGGAAATGAGCATTGGCTGTAGGCATGGATAAATAAGAGTGAACATAACAAGAATTACCTTTCCCTGCAAATTTCTTCTGGCAACAATCCTTTAAAAAGACAGAAATTCTTAGACTGCCTCTGTGGAAAGCCTGTACCTTTGTTCCCTCATAATAATTATCCTTCTGATTCACATTACTGCTGCTGATTGGAGGGCCCAACAACGCAGCCCAGCAGGTCTGATAGACCTTGGTGTCACTGTGTATCCCATGGAGTTATGGTACTGGATAGATCCCTATTTTTCCCAGAATCCTTAGTGCTGTACAAGGCTCTTGGAGACAGGGCTAGGAAGATAGCCATCCCACCAGGCAGTAAGAGGTTCTAGTACAATGACAGCAGAACACAGCTTGGAGGTGCCAAGGCCTCCTAGCCTTCTTCCATGCATGGTCTCCCCCACTCTGTTGGATAATACCCCAGGGAGAAAGCAGCTTTCCAGTAGACACAGATAGAGACAATCTCAAACTAGCAAAACCAGAAGTAATTCCTCCGTGTGTTTAAAATGCTTCAAAGATGAAAATTATAATTAGGGGGGAATAAATACAAGTGAAAATTTAGAAGCACACCTAAGTGTTAATGAGGCAGATTGAACTATCTGGGAAATTAAAAAAACTCGCTGGGTGAAGGGACAGCTACTTCTCAAGGTCCTTACTCCAACCAGGACTGTGAAATCCACAAAGGCAGCTTATTGAACGCAAAGCTTTTGTGAGAGAAATCTCCTGAATTGATGCATTGTTTCTTCTCCTAAAAGATGTAACAGGAAGGACACTGGCAACCTCTCTTGAAATATAAGCAACATGCCTCTAAAAAGAAATAAAAATTACCTATAATTTACTGTCTTTTGATCAATAAAAAATGGTACAATAACTATTTACATTAAGCTAATTGAGGATACATGTAATATTTTAGATAAGACAGCATCCACTCCTCTTACTTTTTAATATCCTTGCAAACCAGCCATTCCACATCAGGAAGTGGGGTCCCCTCTGCCAAGCATCTCACTGTCTGCCCACCTGTAGTGCCATGATGATCATCCACAAGGGCTGAGATCAGAGCTGGAACTGGGAAGGAGTCAGGAGTTTGTTAAAATATTTGTCAGGGTTTACAAAAAAAAAAACGCTTGAAATTTCAAAGCAGGACAGGTGTTGTTTGGCCAACAGTTTAGCAATAGCTAGAGACCCAGACTCATCCAGGAGGTGCTTATCTCCCATAGGACAGCTTAGATCTTAGGCCAGAGCCATGAAAAGGAAGTGCTGCGGTTTTGCCACGTCCTCATGTCAGACTGAATGAGCTATCGCCCTGCTGTCAGCTGGAATAACTTAGCTGGGAGAATAAAGTTTCTTTTTGGCTCAAGGCCAGTGCAGAAGTGAAAGCCAGGATCAGGGTAGAAGAGCTCCAGGGACCCAGCATGCACGCACTCCTCCGCACACCCTGGTTCATGCTGGTTTTATATCTGTACTCCAGGCAATCCAGTGTGTAAGTGCATCAAGTCTTTGCTGTGTGGCATCAGTTATGGTGGGGAAGGCTGTGGGGCTCCTTACCTTGTATTAGCAAGGAGAAGGTGTATCTTTTAATCTCGTCTTCATTTTCAGCAACCAAAGTATAGTATCCGCTGTCTTCTTCCTTGGCCCGTATCAATTTTAATACACTCTGAAACCTGCAGAAATGCAAGTTTTTGTTTGTACTTTTAAAGCAGGCATAAAAAAATCACTTCTGCGAAACATATAATCTGGGCATGTTGAGATTATAACATAGTGGCATTTAGCATTGCTGGTATGCCTTTAACTGAAGTCATTACTCAAATGGTAAGGAACTACCAACACACAACTGAGAAAGAAGTGGGATTAGTTATTTTCTGCAGGGACCTGTAAAAGCCCTGATTTTACTGGAAACAGCCGGAGATTATTGGTGTGCAGGCATGTTGAAGGGAATGAAGAGGTTTAGTGCTCAGAGACCTTGAAGAGGTTGGTGTTATGAAGAGAATAAGAAGAGGCAGATTAGACATCGCCCTTTAGAGTAGAAAGCAAATAAATTATTTTTAAATGCCACTAAGGAAGAAGCAACAAATGGAGGTGGAAAGAAAGCAGGAGCAGTGCCAGGTTTTTGGGGAGAAACTCAAGTCAACATGGCAAAGTAAGGGTCAAAAGTTTTTTTACCTTGTTTCCTGGACTCTGTTAGAACTAGTAACAATCTCAGTAAGATTTTCAATCAGAGTCACATTATCCTTCAACCAGTACATTTTTGGTGCTGGGTAAGCCTGCACATCAACAACAAAGTTTTTGACTTCGTGCAGGTTGACAGCTTCCAGAGGGCTAAACTGAGGCTCCAGGTGAACAAAGCCTTTGTCTGTAAAGGAAAAAGCCTTGCGTAAACAACACTGTGCAACATTTTTCAAGAATGGTGTTTTCCAATGCATTAGTAATTTGAGACACTAAAATCAAACTATACCATGAACTGTAATGACTACTTTCTTATTTTCCTTAACCTCCTTGGTTGCATGCCGAGCAGTACATTCATAATCCCCTGTGTCTTTCACTGATGCCTCAGGAATGGTCAGGGTGTAAACCAGCTTCTGTGATGGGACTTTGATATCATCAAGTTTTATCAGACCTTTTTCCTTCTGTAGTTTGGAGAAAGAAAAAAAAAAACCTTGCTTAAGTAACTGAGCTGAAAATACAACATAGTCTGACTAGATGCTACGTTCTGCTCCTCTCAGAACAAGAATAATTTACTGACAAGGAGAAGACTCCTGTGAGTAAAAGGATGCTGAGAATAGCAGACCACATTATCATGAGAGGCTGGAACAAAAAATATTCCTGGGTTAATTTTGAAAGGTGGCATATAGCAGGGACTGTGATGTGTAAGATGGAAAATGGAACAAAACTTTCTCAAACAGTTTTTCCTCTTGGACTCATAACTCACTTAAATAAAACATGGGATTTGTGTTCAGAACCAGGTACGATTTTACTACTCCATTTCATCAGTGGCCAGACTTTTTACATGGGATACTCTGAAATTGCCTGGGATGGACTCTAACCAAGTTTCACTGAATAAAAATTTTCGCTGCAAAAGGACGTCACACCAGTTTGAAAATTTTCAAGGTTCTCCAAAAGTTTTAAGATTTTCTTACTAGATGTTTCTCATTAGTGAATAATTACTGTGACTCTAAGAGTTATTTCAGTTTATACCTGCATAATGAAGAACACTTAAGAATATGTGATTCTTCATCGTCTTTTATTATGCCCGAGAACCAGGATTTAAGATAACCATTTTTGAGGGTCAGACCCTCAGCAGCAGAACTTTACTGAGATGCCCAACACACCTAGATCTTTCTATTTTCACATTTCTTTTTTTGAAACAGCCCAAGACCTGAAAGACAGATCCTCAGAGGATGGACTGCTAGCCATACCTCACCTTCCTCTCATGCTTTGCATACTTACTAACAGCAAAATCTAACTTTTGGGATTGCCTTTCCTTTATGGTAACTTAAAATTCAAAGAACTTCCTTTGTTTTCTCTCCTCAGCTGTCCTCATTCAGATAAGAGAAGAATATATTACAAACCCGCCTTCTTCCCCAATAAGTAACTAGAAATACTGAGAAGACAAATAAAAAAAAAAAAAGAGAGAGAGATTTACCACTTTCCCGGGATAATTCCACTGTAAATTAACCACCTCATTGTCAAAGACCACACAAGTTACTACGATGGTCTCGCCTGTTTTGTAGACAGTTTTAAGAGCTTCAATTTCAACCGGAAGCTGTGAAGTAGCTACGAGAAGAGAGAGAGAGAGCTCATTTAGTTTTAAAAAGAATGCTCTTTTCACATGGTACAATTTCAGAAGGAGATTTCCATTTCACTTCCTCTATCTTTGAGAATCTCTTGCTGGTCAGGAAAAATATTTTCAAAGTAATCGGATCATGATGTTTTTCAGGCCATACAGGGTTCTACAATTCAAAGCCACCGGGAAATGCCAACCTTTTAAGTTATGTTTCAGCAAATAAGATGATAAAATACATGGACTATGGAAGTCTTTTCCTGCAACCATCTGGGAGAGAGAGAGGAGATGGAGAGGATATAAAGTTAGGGACACTTTACTCTCATCAAAATTATAATTAATTGTAAGTACACTCACAACTAAGTAACTGGCAATACTGCCAGAGGAGCAAGGAGCTCATCACTGGGGAAATATGTGATAAAACCCTGTGTTGCTGGTGCTAATATGGCTCTTAGAGTGTGAAGAAAGAACACAACTACTTTTTTTAATTTTAAATGAACAGAAATAAATACCTCTTATAATATAGACGAGGAACTCATCAGACTTGAACTCCACGCCCTTAGCCATTGTTTTGCATGCGTATGAGCCCGCAGGAAAATTTCCTATGAAGCCTTGTTTGGGGTCATATAAAGCTTCCACAGCCTTGTCTAAGCTGTCAGTTAAAGTCACTTGAGCACCTGGGTCACTTGTCCGACAAGGGATAACTGTGGGATCACCTTCTTCTACAAGGATGAACTGGTCTTCCGGTATAGAAGGAACAAAAGGCATGTCTGGGTCTGTAAAAAAACGAGAGGTAATATTATACTGTCTTGTTTGCATCAAGTCTACGTACAAGAATTGGATGTCAGTGACCACTTATAGGTCGTAACTGAAACTTGTACAGTTCATTATCCCAGCTTTTCAGAGATTGCAGGTAAGGCTTGTTAATTGTGTCTCATTTTAGCTATTTGATGTGACATGTAGTGAGACATTTCTTCTAAGCAGAAAACAAGAAAGGGTTTGGCCTCCTTCGTAACAATTCAGGATGCAGGATGAAAAAGATAAAAGATCCTCCTCCCAAAATGCTAAGTGTTATAAATCACAACTCACTCATTTTAAGTCAGATTTTTTTCCCTTTGGTATTAATAGCTCTCTCCTAACCAGTATATAAGCAGGGGAAAAAAACAAAAGTAAAAGAAAAATCCAAACACTTTCCAAGTCAAATAAAGTAGGAGTCAGTTTCATGTTGTTTATGTTGAACGCCACTAAAGCCACATTTCATCAAAAATAGTTCAAGGTACTTATCTTCATGTATTTCTAACATGTCCAACATTACAGTTACGAGACATAGTTAATTATGGTCACAGCATGTGGTTTTCAAAATATGGTATTCAACTAGGAAAAAAGCAAACAAACACCTGGTAGTTTTATTTCTTTTAAAGTCAACAAAATACATGCCAACTTTCCTACCCAGTCAATCCAAAGTCTGTGCTTAAAACATAATTGCATAACATTATGCATAAAAAGCATGGCTCTCCATTTGGCCATTCAGAATAAACAAATAATCCCTGCTAGCCTGAAGCTTCTGTGTAAAGCTTTATAATAAAATTTAATAAATAGCAATCCAAATCCCTCCAACAATAGACTTTCTGCTGCACTGGCAGGCTCTTTGTAGCAATATTCCAAACACAGCGCTCCATTCAAAGACGCTGCCAACTCCATGTATTCATTTTCTCACTGTAATTTAAAACAGAAACAGGATTCACCTAGTTTGGTTTTCTGTGTGCTGTTAGTGAAAATAGGATATTGTGTGAAGTCTCAATGTAATCCTCACTGGCTAAAGTGGGTTGCTACCACCCATTGCCCTCCTAATTCATTGCAGAAAAAACAATTGTAAAGACAAAGTTCATAGTGGAAACAGAAACATCCTCTATAATTTGGAGAAAAGGATATGTTTCTGCATTTATGACATCTTGATGGTTAGAGAGTGGAAAAAATTACAGGGTGTCTCTGCCCAGCAAATCTGGTAGGCTGATGTCTAGAGGCTTTTGAAAACCAAACTAAAAAGTCCTCTTGGAGAAATCTTCAATCTCTTGCCTTTATATTCCTTCGCTGTGTGAGTTACAAGACAACGTGAAAAGCATCTTCTGGTGATTTGGTTAGAGGTGTTTGGAAATCAAGATACACGTGACAAAGCTGGCAGCCTCTGCTGAAACACCTTGCTTTGAGAACAAATGCAAACATTTTACATTTGTTGTGGGAAATGGAAAGTCTTGGAAGAATGACTGTCCTTGAATCACACATTGTGAACTGAGAAAACTTAATGCCACTGCAAAATAGCCTTTAAAAAAGGTCCTGTTACTGCTTCCTGACTTTTTCCCCTTTCCAGTCTTCTTTGCCACTGTAAACATCATCTTCTTCAGAACACATTGCAGTTTTGCAGGATGATTTGCAATCTCTTCTTCTCTCTTTTGTTTCCTGTTACAAATACTTGCTGCAAATCCAGTGGCTCGATCTTTTCTGGCCCTGCGGTATTGTCCCTCACCCCCCGAACCCCAGCCAATGCCAAGGAAATATCCAGAACGGCCATCAGTCGTGGCTCAGCCTCTGGTGCCTATTTCAGCTACGATAACAAAGATTTTCATCCAGTGGAGAGTGTGGAAAACATTTAAGCAGATTTCCAGTCTGAACAAGGGGGTGGAAGGGCAATGCTGGGAATAGGCAGTTGCAAAAAGAAGGGGTGCTATTTCTTCTGAATGCAACAGGTTTTCCATCACTAAAGAGAAATGCAGCACAGGGCCTGGGAAGGCTGTGTTTGCTTTGCAAATTACAGGGCACTGCATGGTAGCACCATGTTTTTAATCTTGCATCAGACCAGCCAGCAAGAACACTTCTTTCTCACCCTTCTGACACTCACCCCCAAGACATCTCCACTGCTTTACTCTTCCCAGGTCCTGTGGACACCTGAGCTTTTTCTAGATCTCAGTTCAAGCCTAATTCAGGTTAAGAACAAGTTATGGCCTTCCTCATCTGGCAACTGCTTTATCATACATAGCACTGATACAGTCACTGCACATTCCAAAATATCAATCCAATTCCACCCTGAAAGGACTGGCATTTGTGTTAATCCCCACCTGGGAGCGAGGCAAACCTGAAGGCTGGACATACTCATATAGCTGACCTGACCTGGTCACTAAGTTCTACTATCCAGCCCCTGGTGGTCAGAAGACCTCAGCTCTGAAGCTGTGAGTTCATCATTCTTCTTGAGAACTAAAACTCTTACCAAAAAAAAATGAAAACCCATAAAAACAGAGGAACAAATCCATAGATTCACAGGGGCTGGTCTTGATTTGTATGTTAGGAAGTGGCCTTGGGGTCAATTCCTCTGACAGTAAATTGCCACCAGTAATACAACTCTTCTGAACATCCACAGTTCACCTCTCCCATTCAAACCTCCAGTTACAGCCCTGGCATCCTGCACTTACCAGGCACATAGATGTAGATGTTCTTCCCTTCCACTTCCCCATCCTCCACTTGTGTGTGGTTATAATAGCAAACATACAAGCCTGTATGAGCAGCTGAGGCATTTACTACTTCGAGCACTGTCACGAAGAGGCCACTGTTGTTTTCTTCATGTCTGATGTCTATCCTGTGACTTCCCTCAGTCACTGGGTACTGCCAGCTCACTTCACTGTCTCCAGAGCATTTGAGTGTGAAATTGGAATTCAGCTGTACAACCATTTCATTCCTACTGGGAACAATAGTCGGCAGAGGAAGCTGGCAAAATGTTAAGAACGGTCCTGCAAAAAGACACAAATAAATAGCATATGAACACACAGAACAGCCTCATCATGGGGATGTAAAAGGAAGCAGACAGGATCCAGAGCGGCTATTTTTCTGACTGTTTCAGATCTGCTGATGTTCCAGGAAATTTGCCCTTGTTAAAAGCCAGAGCTTTGCCCAAGGGATGGCAAATGGCTTTCCTTTGAAATGTTAAGTGTTTGCTTGCTGACTTCTGTTTGTCAAATCAAGAGGTGAAAGACAGACAGAGGTGAAGTTAGAGATAGCTCCCAATTCACACATCAGCTTTCCAGCCCCGAAGGTGGGCAAGCTTTGTAGCAGACCAGTGAAACCCACACCGTGGCTGCTGAGTCAGAGGCATCTCACAGCTTCTTACAGCCGTGATCAGGAAAGCAGCAGTCCTGTTAGCCTTCGAGTAAGCTCACAGCTGAAAGTTAAAATACCACTTCCCAAGACTAACACCTGCACTTTATGTCTGATTTCTGTTTGTGCAAAGGGCCAGAGCGGGGGCTTAGGCCAAAAAATTATGCATCAGGTCTACGTCCAGCCAAAATGTACAGTTTTAAAGCCAGATAAAACTACTATCCACTGAACTAGATGTTGTAGATGGCACTGGTTTTCAGATGCAATCTCCAATTACAGGCTCAGATTTGCAAGCGTAGGTAACTTGTAGGTGGGCTGATAACATGTCCAAATCCAGAAGGAAAATTACAGGATCTACATCCTAAAGAAACAGGGAATTCACCAAGAAAATACATTTGGTGTTTCAGTCTACCAAATTATCTGTACTAAACAGATAGGGTAGTCCATGATAAACAAGCACCTAGGCTCACAGCGTGAAATTGCTCCTCAGCAATAAACCAGCATCAGGACTCAAGACTGTCTTTGAAACCATTTTCCACTCCTGCACAGAGTTACCTCAGCCTACAGGCCCTTTCTATATTTGGCATCCTGTGGCAAAGCCTGCCCTCCCCTCCTATCACCATTCACTCGGCAGATGTTGGGAGCTGGGCAGGCGAGTGCGGTTCGGTGGTGCGGTGTGGGAGGATGCAGAGAGCCCACACAGGCAGCCCTGCCTGCACCACGCCGCTGCAGAAACCCCAGCGGGGCACTTGGGACAGCTGGAGGTAGGCAGGCTCACTTTCCCTGTGCGGTCAGACAAATTGGGTGGGAGGATACAGCAGCACAGGAGTGCCAAAGCAGCCAACATGGGCCGGCAAAAGCGCTGCCTTCTTAGTAGGTCTTGTCTTAGCCTAGCTAAGGGAAAGGCAGGAAAACCACGTCTGTAGCCAGCTGGCAAGCATTTGGTATTTGTTATTATGGGCAGAATGAAAGCATGTTGAAATACAAATTTATTAAGAATTATGGGTGGAGAGGCTTAGAGAACTGAGAACATTACCTGTAAGAAAACATCCCAGAATCAGGAACATCCATGGGGAGGTACCCATAGCTACCAACAACTGAAACAGAAAGCAGAAGGAAAGAGAGCCAGTTAATAGACTGATAACTGCGTAAGACTTAGCAGGACCCCTCTTCTGCAATGCCCAAGTGCAGCTTCCCACCACTCCTCATGGTGCCACAAAGAGAAATGTCCTGGGGACCCCAGCTCACACCCACAGCCCGTTGAGACACACTACTGCCCTAGAGCTACATGTGGCCACAGACAGATCACAGGCAGCTAAGGCACCATAACCCCTTCTCTCAACTGGCAGTGTAAGGAACCAAGTTCCAGTGTAAGGAACCAAGTCCCATTGTATGGAACTAAGTCCCGGTATATCCCCTTTCAAAAGGCTTGCAAACAGCTCTGCTGCCCACTACAGCCCCCGAGACCGAGTCCACAGAAACACCCCTGCACAGAGGCACCTCCCTCGCAGGCATCAATGAAACAGCTTTAGGCAGTAAGTTCTGACCTTTCAGCTGCAAGCGGATTTTTATGGGAGAAAAAGCACATTTTAAAGCTACTCTTATTACAAATAGTACAATCCCGAGTGATATTTTTGTTTTGCCATTGTACATATGTATATATATAGCTTACAGAATACAATGCAATACAATGGTGCTTATTGCCTATTTAGCAGGAATTCCCTTGATCAAGCAACATGCTATTTAAAACATATGCTGAAATTTTCTAATGAAATAAATCCATGACAGACTGTAGGCCAGCACTGCCACTCATATAGCGTCTCTTCTCCCCAACACTGTGGAGAGTCATAGATCACATGCAATTATTTCAGCTTTCAAACACATAATCCTAAGGCATCTGTCTTGTAGAAGCAACAACAGTAATAAACATCTATGCAATTTTTGTGCCATCTAACGACATTTCTACATAAAACCCTCAAGCAGCCTGCTAGGTAAATTCTAAAGGAAGAGTTCCTGAAATCCCTACTCCCATTGAAATCAACAGCTGTTCTGTTGGTAACTTTATTAGCAACTGGATTTGGCCAAAGACAATATAAATTACAAAAACACTGCTTGGAAGAGCCCCTAACCTGAAACATAGACCAAGGAGTAAAATAAAGGATGTTATGCCAAGACAGAGACTACGCCTCAAAGGTTCTGGTGAGTTTCTGTTCATCCTCTGGCGTTCAGTTCCCGATGCTGAGACAGGAAAACATGTAGGTGCAACTAGTTACTACAACTCTGGCAGTGCCATATGGGAGTTAAATGCTTACAATGTGCCAAGGACTGTTTCGGAATTAGTCCTGCTTTCCTCCTGCAATGTGTGGAGCAGAAGCACTCATTGCAAAGCAAAAGTATTTGATACTCAAATCAAATATAAAGGTCTCAGAAGCAGGATTACAAGACGTACAAACTACCAACCTCAAAAATATGTACAAACAATTTCTGAAATTCAGCTAAAAATGTTTCAGCAGAGACAAGGCATTTTGCCTGATTCTTCAATTGACAGTAATTGCCATGTGTTTATATATCTGTGTCTTATTGATAACAGACTCATGGATATCAAAGAATTCTCTCAGTTTCAGCTTCCTTACTCATTTTTATCACATTCATATCCTGTGATTTTTTCTGATAAAATAACCCACTCTAACTCTTTAAAGATTTACCATGGTCTACTTAACTGATCTAACTGCTAGCCTTCCAAGATCCGTAAGATGATGTTAACTCACTGTCTGCCAAGTTCCCTCCTTTTTCTCTCTGAAAACACAACATTCTCCCCCTTTCATGTTGTTTTACCAGACTGTTCAGCGCAAGTGATGCAGCACAGGAGGAGAAAAAACAAAGCTAGCTTATCTCTTGCATACCAGAAGCTCTGCTGAAGTGGACTAGCATTGTTGCAGAGCTGTATGTGCAAGTGAGGACTGAAGCCCCATGACTTACTGTAAGTAAGTACACATGATGGCATTTCCAAAGTGCCGTTTTGAACTTGCTGTCTTGGTTGGGCTGTTGCTGAAAGCAAGGAGTGTCTCAACCTAGCACTGCAGTTAAAAAACACAGTGACTTAACTAAATTTGCTGTCTCCATCTGGCAATTCTTTCACAACCCAGGGCTTTGATCTTTCCTCAATGACCCGTTAATCTCATCAAGATCCACAGCAACACTTCCTCACTGTGAAAGACAGAATAATTTACTAAGGATTCACCATCATCTGTATTCAAAATCTATTTTAACTGAATTCAGTCACATCACAAATCTGACTTGAGCATGATGGGGTCCCATCACCAGTATATCCTCACACATCATTGCCAGACTCAGGGTTTAACACAATTTCACACTTTGGGGCATGAGGGAGTTTGCTGATCCGCACAACACCACGCAGGAACACTTATCCTGGTTTTGTTTATCTACAGTCACATACATTTTTGTGTGCACTTATTTAGCTTTTTTACCTTCCTTATGGCAGATCAATTCTCTTTCTCCTCAACTATCCAAATCTCAACCCTGGATAAACAGATCAGGTTCAGTTCCTAACATTGGTGCATCAATCCACAACTTGGTGTAGCCTCACTGAAGCCAATAGCTTTATGCAAGCTGAAACCCAGTATTAATAGAACATATACAATTTAAGTTTGAGCCAGCCTTAATTCCCTGCGTACCTTGGACATTGCTAGCTAATATATAAGCATGGACATGTATCGTAAAAGCTAGGTGACGCCATGACAGCTTTGCCAAACTCTCTGCAGGGGACTGCCCAGAGTAAAACAGTCATTGAATTTATATAGGTTTTTAA